AGTGGGACTAGAACTCACAGTCTCCTGGTGATTGGCCCAAAGCCACCCAGTTGGCTTTCATGCCCTAAGGTGGGATTTGAACTCAGTCGCCCGCTTTCTAAGCCTGGTGTCTTAATCACTAGACCAAAGTGGCTCTCTAAAAATCTATCAGATACTATATATTTGTATGTACCGATGTCAAGAAGCAAGGACATAATCCTTGTATGCTGGCACACACACTTCCATATAAGAGTTTGTGTGTTTGTCTACTGCCACTCAGCCTGGTATGTAGGTCATGCATGCTAAAAAGAAACTACCCAGGTCAGGGGTAGTCAACCTTGGCTCTTTTATGACTCGTGGCCTTCAACTCCCAGAATTCCTGAGCCAGCATAGCTGGCTCAGGAATTCTGGGAGTTGAAGTCCACGAGTCATAAAACAGCCAAGGTTGACTACCCCTGACCTAGGTCCTAGGAGCTTCCACTTTCTCCCAGGGCTGCAGATGAGATTGCCACCCAAGCAAAGATTGTGCATTTTGGAGCAATATCGAATTGCGGGCTTCTTACCCCCATAATTTTACATTGAGCCACTGCGCCCGTTCAGCTTGAAAGCACTTGTAATGGCAGAACAGCGACAACAGAACTGCACAGAGTTTTTTTGCGGGGGGGGGGTTGTCTCTGCAGAAGTCTCACTGGCTGGATTCATAAGACACTTTAACACCCAGCACCCAGCCTCCTTTGCCCAGATGCTTAACCAGGTTAAGGCTTCATCTTCACTGAAGAGTTTTAAAGTCCAGGCTCTTCCCACCCACCCCTCTCCCAGACCTTGGGACAGAATGATTGATGCTTTCTGCCTTTTCTTCGGCATTTACTTATTTTTGCCATTGTTGTTGTCTTCTGCTGCTTTTGGATTGTTTTTAAATGTTTTTAACAATTGTAAAGCGCTCATCTTGATCGGGGTTAGAGGAAGCTGCATACAGTAGTATATTATAATTATTATATATTATGGCTCATTGCACAGTCAATCAGATGTTTAGACCACATTTGGCATTTTTGTCTGCCTACTGAGCCCTTCCCAAGGATCTGGGATTAGGCAGATGTTATTTAATGGTGTTAAAAGATATCTCGCAGGATATAAGCTCTTCCATGTCAAGTTGCCTTTTGCAATTGACTGATGGGGAATTTGTCAATGCTGATGTTATTCGAATATGCTCCAGATGTTTTGGGATTGCACCCAAGGCATTCTTTTGCCATAGTTGTCCTTCTATTTTCAGGTCTTTGCATTTTGTGATTTTTCTCCAGTGTTTCCGCTGTCTCCAGGTACTGCCGTTGTTATTATAAATTATAAAAATAGTATAATATGAATCCACCCTATGTGGTTTGGGTGAACATAGGAAGTGGCTTTCCAGGATCCAGGCTCAAGAGGCGACCTCTGCTTGCCCTCTCATCAAGGGTGGAGGGTCTCCTCAGGGTTTTTGAGGAGAATTGCTGCTGAGGAGAATTGCTGAGGAGAATTGCTGCTCCCTGTGCCCAGCGGGTGACCCACTCAATTCCAGGATCGATCTACCTCTTCCCGCCTTTTTCTCTTCGCCTCAGACAGCACCACGTTAACAGATAAGAGGCAAAGGGGGGGCTTGCACGTGCGCGTGCGCGCGAGCAGGCAAACAGGACGGTGTCGTTCAGAGGCTGCGCGTGCATAGACCCCGCCCAGCCCACATGTGTCAAACAAACTGAGCCCGCCTTTGTTTTCTTTGAACACTCGGATTCGGCCTGCCCCTCCTCCGCTCCGCCTATGACTTCTATCATCCAATCATATCTGGCTTATTTCTTCCTTTCCCCGCCTACCTCGGCAGATCCGCTCATCACACTCGTTCTCCACTTTCTAATCTGTTTCAAAGCTAAGCCACGCCTAATCTCACTTTTCAAGCCAATCAGCCATCTCGTCGCACTCATGTCTCCGCCCCCCTGCCCCGAGCTGGCTCTCTCAGTCAATCTTTTATTTTTCTCCTTTTTCTCCATCTTTGTCCCTCTTTCTCCAACTTTTCACGGAGTTCAGATGAGATTGGGTTTCGATATCTCATTTGGGTTTCGAGTTCTCGTTTCCCCTACACCAGGGGTCTTCAAACTTGGCCCTTTTATGACTTGTGGATTTCAACTCCCAGAATTCCTCAGCCAGCATAGCTGAGGAATTCTGGGAGTTGAAGTCCACAAGTCATAAAAGGGCAAAGTTGAAAGACGCCTGCCCTACACTGATTTTCCTCCCAGCATGTGTGAATCCCCATCGTGTTCTTCCATTTTGGAATAAGCAGCATTGGAGAGAAAGCACAAAAAGTAATAAAATCAAAGACATTAAAGGGAAAAGATGAGGGAAAAGACAACAATGTAGATAATATAGTGCAGTGTTTCTCAACCTTGACAATTTTAAGGCATGTGGACTTCAACTCCCAGAATTCCACAGCCAGCAATGCTGGCTGTGGAATTCTGGGAGTTGAAGTCCACATGCCTTAAAATTGTCAAGGTTGAGGAACACTGATCTAGTGCAAAGGTAGGCAACCTTGGCTCTTTTATGACTCGTGGACTTCAACTCCCAGAATTCCTGAGCCAGCCATGCTGAGGGGAAAGGGAGAGGTTTCCAAGCTGAGCCATGGTGGCTCAGGAATTCTGGGAATTGAAGTCCACGAGTCATAAAAGACCCAAGGTTGCCTACCCCTGATCTAGTGCATGCTTTTCAGTTCTGGCAACTTTTAGATGTGTGGACTTCAACTCCCAGAATTCAGAAGTCCACACCTGGAGTTCTGGGTGTTGAAGTCCACGCATCGTAAAATTGCCAAGATTGAGAAACATCAATTAAATGCAGGGTTTTTTTTCTCATAGAACGCCCAGAACGGAGTTCCGGCACCTTTTTTGGATGGAACCTTGTAGGGTAGGCAAGGCAGGTTGTATGATGTGTGTGAGTTCTGGCACCTTTTTTTTTTTTTTTTTTAGAAAAGAAGCACTGATTAAATGTACCACAAATGATCTACATGCCATCACCAACTTGGCTTCCAACACATCCATTCATTGCATCCTATTTGCCTTTTATGTAAAAACTTCCTTTTGGATGATCTCATTGTTGAACTTTGTCCAACTACAGATAGTTCTTGACTTACGATCATTTGTTTAGTGACCGTTCGAAGTTACGACACTAAAAAACGTGACTTACAACCAGTTCTCAAAACCACCGAAGCATCCCTGTGGTCACATGATCAAAGTTTGGGCGCTTGGCAAGGAGTGTGTATCTAGGACTGTTGCAACATCCTGGGATCATGTGATCACCATTTGCCAACCATGCTGGCTTCTGACAACAAAGTCAGTGGGGGAAGCCAGATTCATTTAATGACCTCATGATTCACTTAAGTGCAGAGACTGGTCAACCATTTGTTTGAAGGGATATAGCAGGGATCTTCAAACCTGGCCCTTTTATGACTTGTGGACTTCAACTCACAGAATTCCTCAGCCAGCATGCCTGGCTGAGGAATTCTGGGAATTGAAGTCCACAAGCCATAAAAGGGCCAAGTTTGAAGACCCTTGTGATATAGGGTTTCCTGCTTGAGCAGGGGTTGGACTAGAAGACCTCCAACTGTTATTCTGGTTCCAATAAGCCAGGGGTGTCAAACTGCCAGCCCACAGGCTGGACGCATCACAAGGAAACCACCTATGGCATGGGTGCCAGAGGCGGCACTCGGAGCTCTCTCTGTGGGCACATGTGCCATTGCCCCAGCCTTGCCTCTGCCCGTGACCCCCTCCTCACCAGCAGCCTCCCTGGAGGAGAGTCGCCCCTGAGCGTGGCCCACGCAGAGCAGCGCAGCCAAGGACATGGCAGCCTGGCAGCGTAGACAAGAGTCTGCCCTCATGCCCCAATGCACACAGTTGATGCTGCGGGGCATCGGCAGAGGATGTGGCCACCATGGCACTGCTGGGCTGCCTGGGTGATCTGTGGCGGGCCCTGGAGGCGGTGAGTGGCCCTGCGGGCAGGCAGGATGGGACGGGGCAGGGGGTGGAGAGGGGGCGGGCATGGGGTAGGGCACTCGGTCTCTAAAAGGTTCGCCATCACTGCTCTATACCATTTCAGACAAATGGTTGTCCAATCTCTTCTTAAAACCTCCAGGGTTGAAGCACCCACAACTTCTGGAGGCAACTCATTCCATTGATTAATTGTTCTGTCAGGAAATCTCTCCTTAGTTTTAGGTTAGTTCTCTCCTTGATTAGTTTCCTTCTGTTCTTTCTTGTCCTGCCTTTGGGTGCTTTGGAGAATAGCTGGACTCCTTCTTCTTTGTGGCAACCCCTGAGATATTGGAACACTGCTATCATGTCACTCCTAGTCCTTCTTTTCATTAATCTAGACATATCCAATTCTTTCAACCGTTATGTTTTAGCCTCCAGGCTCCTAATCACCCTTTTTGCTCTTCTCTGCACTCTTTCTAGAGTCTCAACATATTTTTAATATTGTAGTGACCAAAATGGATGCCATATTAATCCAGGGATTCCGAATGGCTGAATAAAACAAAGGTAGTTAAATCCAGGGCTGTTTTTAGTGGATCCATACTACCTCAAGATCCCCTCCCAGCAAATTAACCACCACCTCAGTAGTCTACTGGCTTTATGTGAGCTACCCTCTGACCAGATGGAAAAAGAATAATGGACACACAGAATCCCTCTTTGGCCACCTGCTGCATCTCTGCTTACAGCTCATCTTTTTATCTCCAAGGGCGCACCCCATGGAATTATATTTCACTTCTCTGAGTTTCCCCAGACACTGTTTTCCCACTAAGTCTGCTCTGGATGGTATAAATTCATTTTTTTTCCTTTTGAATTGGGTTGTTCTTTTGCTTGGAGAGGACACATTGTTAGTTTGTTTGCTTGTTCCTCCATTGCAAAAAATTGTTGGCCTTCCTTCATAAGTGGCCTTGGTGGGAAGGAGGGGAGGAGTGGAGAAGCAAAAAAGACGACCAGCTCTCCTTCATCAAAGAAATTTGTGGGTTGAAGATGGAAGACGACTCTCAGCTAAAGAAACCCCCAAAGATTGAAGCCCTTGAGCCAGGTCAGGAGGAAAGGGACGATTATATACTTTTGGGTGGTAGATTTTAAAAATAGCCTGTGTGGATTGTAAACCATGGCTTGTGGCTTGGTGTATTTTGTGAATCCAACCAGTTATGGGTTAAGCAAAGCATGTTTTTGTACATTTTGTAAACATGACCAGGAAGTTGTTAGATGCATTGGAGTATAAATGATTTGCCTTATTTAACAGGAATCTGTAGACTATTCAAAATGATTGTTTCAGAAAATCTCTAAAAAGGTCTCTTGTTAACATCTAGCTAGAAACTAGGAGAAGGTGAATTCTAATTCCACCTCAGGCATAACAGCTGCTTGGGAGATTTTGGGCCAATCACCAGGCGACTGTGAGTTCTAGTCCCGCCTTAGGCTGCTGGAATTGGGTATGTCTAGTTTAATGAAGAGAAGGACGAGGGGTGACAGGATAGCTGTGTTCCAATATCTTAGGGGCTGCCCCAAAGAAGAGGGAGTCAAGCTATTCTCCAAAGCGCCGGAAGGCAGGACAAGAAGCAACGGATGGAAACTAACCAAAGAGAGAAGCAACCTAGAACTAAGGAGAAACTTCCTGACAGTTAGAACAATTAACCAGTGGAACAACCTGCCTCCAGAAGTGGTGAATGCTCCAACACTGGAAGTTTTTAAGAAGAGGCTGGACAGCCATTTGTCTGAAATGGTATAGGGTCTCCTGCCTGAGCAGGGGGTTGGACTAGATGACCTCCAAGGTCCCTTCCAACTTTATTATCATTATCATCATCATTATCATCATCATCATCATCATCATCATCAAAGCTGATGGGTGATTCTGAGCCAATCACCAGGAGACCTTGAGTTCTAGTCTCACCTTAGGCATGAAAGCCACTAGAGTGACTTTGAGTCAATCACCAGGAGACAGTGAGTTCTAGACCCATCTTAAACCTGAAAGTCAGCTGAATAACTTTGGGCCACTCCGACTCTCTCAGCCCAACCCACCTGACAGAGTTGTTGTGAGGAAAGTAGAAGGAGAAAGGCCTGTTATGTATGTTTGTTGACTTGAGTTACTTATAAGGGCAATGAAAGTGGGATAAAAGATCTATTCCACCCCCATCCTTGCTCAGACATTGAACCCAAACTACTTTACAATCTTTTTCTGCGGATAAGATTGTGATCTGCTTGAAAGAAGCCTTGAGGAATGATGAGATATAAAATAAACGATGGTATAGGGTAGAGGTCATCAACCTTTCTCGGTTGGCGGACCGGAAGGGAGGGGGAAGCAGTTTATATGCACGCACGGGCCCACAAGCATGCATGTGATGCAAACGGGGTGGGGCTAGCGCTTGTTTGATACTCACTAGCTTTGTCCCATTCTTGTGTGGCTCAGCGCCGTCCATTTTTGTGCCCTCAGCGCCGCATCACCCCGTTTTCCCTCCCGAGGCGCAGCGACATCCCATTTTTGCGCCCTGCAGCCTGGTGGTGTCCTGCAGCGCAGTGGCAGCCCATTTTTGCACACGCAGCATGGCGGCAGCATCCCATTTTCCCCCTGAGGCACAGTGGTGTCCCGTTTTCACACCCCGCAGCATGGTGGCAGCCCATTTTTGAGTGCCGCAACTACGGCGCTGTCGCGAATGGGTGTGTGTGCGCACACACGTGTGCACACAGGCCAGCCTGTCCTGCATCCCAGTGGCCAGCAGGTCACGGCCCACTACTGGGTCGCGGCCCACAGGTTGGGGATCCCTGGTGTAGGGTCTCCTGCTTGGGCTAGATGACTTACAAGGTCCCTTCCAACTATTCTATTCTATTCTATTCTATTAAGAAGTGTTGAAGAAAAAGTCTTCATCGTGGTTCAGTCCACGCTGGGAATAAACAATATGGTGACTGCTTTAGAAAGAAGGTTGCAGTTTATTGAAGAGGAGAGCCAGACAGAAAGATGGCTCTGGAAGAAAAGAGGAGGAGGAGCACATGTAGGGAGTGGGTTTCTATACCCTCTGGGGCTCTTGAGGTTGTTTCCTGTTCCTGTTTGAGGCTTTGTATTTCCTGCGTGATGTATTTTGACCTGAGTCTGAGTGTGCCCCTTTGGCATCTGTGGGTTAATCCTATTGTGTCTTGTCTTAGAGTTTGGGTGGGGTATGTAGATTTTAGGTGTCTTTGTCTTCTTAATCTTCTAATTTCAACCTTCCTGAATTATTTAATCTGCATTTCTACAGAGCTGGTTTCTGCTTGGGGGAGGGAAACTTGGGGCTATAAAGAAAAACTGGGCATGCTGTTCTGCCTCTTTAATATTTCCTTCTCTGGGAGGGGGGCTGACTTCCCACAGAAGCACCCTGCCCGGTGACATTTTGCTTTTTAAAAGAGGATATAGTCATGAAATTAATGAAGACTAAATAAAAATAAAAAACGTTCTCATGTCCTCTTAGGTCCTGGACCTGGATGTTACAGCTTACCTCCCACCATTGGATTTGTCAACCATGATTACACCCGCTTCGCCAGTCCGGCTTATTCCTTTCGTCAGAGGCTCAACAATCATGGTGAGCAACAGCATTGCTGAGCAGTCGTAACATGTAAGATGGGGATGGTCACTCAAGAGATGGTTCCACTAAAATAGATTCTCCAAACTTGACAACTTTAAGGCTTGTAGATTCAACTCCCAGAATTCCCCAGCCAGCCAGCCAGCCAGGTTTGGAGACCCCTGCACTAAAATTTCCATTGTTCATAACTGCATCTGATAGGAGATGGGGACAGATACAGGAAGTCCTCAACTTACGACCAAAATTGGGGCCAGAATTTCTATTGCTAAGCAAGGTAATTGTTAAGTGAGTCACTCCTGATTTTATAACCTTTTTAATAACTATATAGTGAATCACTATAGTTCTTTAGTGAATCATTAAATGAATTCGGCTTCCTTCCCCCATTGTCGCTGCTTGTCGGAGGTTGATTGAGAAGGTCACAAGTGGTAATCACGTGTCCCCGGGACTCTGCAACCATCGTAAATAGAGATAGTCCTCGACTTACAACCACCACTGAGCCCCAAATTTCTGCTGTTAAATGGAACATTTGTTAAGTGAATTTTGCCTTGTTTTGCGACCTTTCTTGCCACAGTTAACAATTGCAGTTGTTAAGTTAGCAGCACGGTTGTTAAGTCAATCTGCTTTTTCCCCATTGACTTTGCTTGTCAGAAGGTTGCAAAAGGGTACCGCATGACCCGGGGACACTGCAACCGTCGTAAATATGAGTCGGTTGCTAAGCGTCTGAATTTTGTTCACATGACCATGGGGGATGCTGCAATGGTCGTAAGTGTGATGCTGCGGCCCGATGACGATCCACAGACCGGGAGTTGGGGACCCCTGCGCTATTGCACTAGTTGAACTGGTGACTTAATAATAATAATAGACTTGGAAGGGACCTTGGAGGTCTTCTAGTCCAGGGGTCCCCAACCCCCGGTCCATGGACCGGTACCGGGCCACAGCATGCCAGCAACCGATTTGCACAAACAAGCAAAGCCCCATCCGTGGAATGCAGGTAGCACACAAAACCACGCTCCCTCAGGTCCGCGGAAAAACCTCTCTCCATGGAACTGGTCCCCGGTGCCCCAAAGGTTGGGGGCCTCTGTTCTAGTTCAACCCTGCTCAGGCAGGAAACCCTATACCAGTGATGGCGAACCTTTTAGAGACCGAGTGCCCAAACTGCAACCCAAAACCCACTTATGCAACGTCGGGTGCCAGGTGGGTGTGGCCCATTGGGTGGGTGTGGCCCATTGGGTGGGTGTGGCTGCGGTGGTAACGGTAGACTGGGTGGGACTAAAAAGTTCAGTCAATCAATTCCAACTTTGCAAGATCTTTTTTTTCCCCGTGAGAAGTTGAAATTGACTGATTGAACCTTTTTTTTTTCTGCACACGGCAGTGGAGGCCTAAAGCAAAAAGGTTTTATAAAACCTAGCTGAAGGCCTAGGACTGGGGCGATGGCGCTCGTGCCCACAGAGAGGGCTCTGAGTGCCGCCTCTGGCACCTGTGCCATAGGTTTGCCACCACTGCCCTATACCATTTCAGACAAATAGTTGTCTAATCTCTTCTTAAAAACTTCCGGTGTTGGAGCATTCACAACTTCTGGAGGCAGGTTGTTTAACTGATTAATTATTCTCACTGTAAGGAAGTTTCTCCTTAGTTCTAGGTTGCTTCTCTCCTTGGTTAGTTTCCATCCGTTGCTTCTTGTCCTGCCTTCAGGCGCTTTGGAGAATAGCTTGACTCCCTCTTCTTTGGTGCAGGCCCTGAGATACTGGAACATTGCTATCATGTCCCCCCTCGTCCTTCTCTTCATTAAACTAGACATACCCAATTCCAGCAACCGTTCCTTATATGTTTTAGCCTCCAGTCCTCTAATCATCTTTGTTGCTCTTCTCTCTACTCTTTCTAGAGTTTCAGCATCTTTTTTACATCATGGTGACCAAAACTGAGTGCAGACATCAGACACCCCTTCTCTGCAAAAGCAGATGGGTGCCTGATATTGGACTTTATAGACCAGAGTTTCTCAACCTTGTCAACTTTACAATGTTCAATCACTTTCAGTCCAAACAACCCACCTCATAGGGTTATTGTTGTTTGGAAAGTGTGTTGGATATGCTTGTTACCTTGATTGATTCGTAAGAATAATAAATGAGAGATACAACCCAGCTCCCAGAATTCCCCAGCCAAATGCTAGAATAAACTGAAGCCTTAACCCTAGATCCGAAGAATTATTTACAAATAATTCTCTCTCTTTGTTTTTCTTTCTTCTCAGGCCACAATGCGAGTCCTGGACCCTGTTACTATGTGTCCCCTGAGCACACACGCTTCGGCAGGATGAAGGGTCCTTCTTACTCCATGCTGGGACGAGCTAAACCTCCAGGTAAGCGCCAAGCAATAATGGCGGTAGGAATGGGAAGGAGGGAAAGGAGGAAAGAACGAGGGAGGGAGGGAGGGAGGATGGGAGGAAGCAGAGATAGAGGAAGGAAGGAGGGAAAGAGGGAGGGAGAGAGAGAGAGAAGAAGAAAGGAAGGTGGAAGGAAGGAGAAGGGAGGGAAGAAAGGAAGGAGGAGGGAGGAAAGTAGGAGGGAGAGAGGAAGGAAGGAAGGAAGGAAGGAGAGATAGAGGAAGGAAGGAGGGAAAGAGAGAGAGAGAGAAGAAGAAAGGAAGGTGGAAGGAAGGAGAAGGGAGAGAAGAAAGGAAGGAGGAGGGAGGGGGAGGAAGGAAGAAAGGAAGGAGAGATAGAGGAAGGGAGGAGGGAAAGAGGGAGCGAGAGAGAAGAAGAAAAGAAGGAGGAAGGAAGGAGGAGGGAGGGAAGAAAGGAAGGAGGAGGGAGGAAAGTAGGAGAGGGAGGAAGGAAGAAAGGAAGGAAGGAGAGAGGAAGGGAGGAGGGACAGAGGGAGGGAGAGAGAGAAGAAGAAAGGAAGGAGGAAGAAAGCAGGAGGGAGGGAAGAAAAGAGGAAGGAAGGAGGAAGGAGTAAAGTAGGAGGGAGAGAGAGGAAGAAAGAAGGGAGTGAGGAAAGAAGGAAGGAGGCAAAGAAGGAGAAGGGAGAGAGGGAGAAAGGAGGAAGGGAGCGAGAGAGAGAGGAAGAAAGGAAGAAGGGAGGGAGAGAGGGAGGAAAGGAAATAGGAGGAAAGGAAACAAGGAAGGAAGCAGGCGGAGAGGGAGGGAGAGAAAGAGAGAGGCAGGCAGGAATTGAAGTCCAGACACATCTTAAAATCACCAAGCTGGAGGAACGCTCCGCCCTAGTGGTTCGTTGCTTTGCTCCTGCTTCCTAAGGCCAGCTCCCTCTCCTCTTCCCACCCCCCATTACAAAATGTCTCTAAACTCTACATTCATCTCTCTGTACCTTCCCCAGCTCTGCCTCAAACCCCCGGACCGGGTGCATACAGTCCAGAGAAGCCGGGATCCGGCCTTCAGCAGCGGGCACCCTCCTTCTCCATAGGTGCCCGCACCAAGTCCCGTCCAGTGGATCCCGTTCCGGCTCCCAACAGCTATACCCTCCCCTCACTGCTCAGAGCACGGATTCCCAGCGGACCCTCCAAGCCCACCCGTGCTACCTCCGGCAGGAACGCTACAGCCGGCGCTTCCAAGGGACCTTGCCAGACGCCAGGCCCGGCAAGCTACAACTCCCAGGCGTCTGCCCTCTGCTTCTGCCGCCCCCCAGCATTCTCCATGCTGAAGAGGCTCCAGAAACCCCCAAGAGCCTTCCAGACCCCCGGGCCGGGGGCCCATAGCCCAGAAAAAGTGAGCATTCACAAGACAGGGGGGCCGTCTTACTCTTTCGGGGTCCGTCACTCCGAATACCTCATGCCATTTATGGCGGATGCTCCGGAGTGGTAGGGCAGCGGAAAGGAGGGGGGTCTTCTGGCATATTTTTTTTGAATTTTTTTAAAAAAATTAATCCTTATTAATTCCTAATTATTAATTATTTTAATTATTTTTTTTACAAAAAGCATAAAAACTAATGCAAATTAGGGAAAGCGGGAGAAAAGAAAGAAAAAGAAAAAAAGAGAAAAAAGAAAGGAATTGGGGATGTCTAGTTCAGGGGTAGTCAACCTTGGCTCTTTTATGACTCGTGGACTTCAACTCCCAGAATTCCTGAGCCAGCCATGCTAAGGGGAAAGGGAGAGGTTTCCAAGCTGAGGCATGCTGCCTCAGGAATTCTGGGAGTTGAAGTCCACGAGTCATAAAAGAGCCAAGGTTGCCTACCCCTGATCTAGTTTAATGAAGAAAGAAAGGAAACTGTGAACTCTAATTCCAACCCTGCCATGGAAGCTGGCTGAGTGACTTTGGACCAATCACCAGGTGCCTGTGAGTTCTAGTTCCGCCTTCGACTTGAAAGCCAACTGGGTGACTTTGGGCTAATTACCAAGTGACTGTGTGTTCTAGTCCCGCCTTATGCACGAAAGCCAGTTGGGTGGCTATGGGCCAATCACCAGGAGCTGGCGAGTTCTAGTCCCGCTTTATGCACGGAAGCCAGTTGGGTGGCTATGGACCAATCCCTCTCTCAGCCTAGCCTACCTCGCAAGGTCGTTGTTGTGAGGAAAAGAGGAGGAGGAAGGTGTGGGGGATATCCTCGCTGTCTCGAGTGATTTGTAAAAATAATAAAAGCAGGATACAAGTACAGTAAAACAAAAGAAAAAATAAGAAAAAAAGAAAAAAAACGCAGAAAGAAAGAATTAAAAAGAAATAGAAGCTTTTGATTTCCTTTGCAGCCGATTACAAGCTTACGCTATAATCACGAGGGAAAGATCATTCTTTTCTACTATCCATTATCAAAATTGAATTTGGAAAGTTATCTATGTTTAAAAGTTTTTCTTTTTTTCTTTTCTGGGCGTATTTGAGCAACTGGAAATTAATAACGAATAATTTGAAAGGCAGAACGCTCCTGTTTTAATGAGGCATTAGAATGAATTCTAATGGTAAATAAGACATATTGGTGTTTCTGTTAGTATTGATGTTGTTGTTGTTGTTGTTGTTGTTGTTGTTATTATTATTATTATTATTATTATTATTATTATTATTATCTTCTGATTGGGGACTGTGGTCCTGATGACAATGCTTCTCTGGCATTTATACAGTACTGTACTATTTAATTTTACTTGATTTATTGATTGCAATCACTTCTTTGATGCTTCAGTTGTATAAATTAAGCATAGCATAGAATTCATGCAACACATTTTAGTTAATCAACATTTCTGGAGAAGATTCCTGCGAGTCCCCTGGACTGCAAGGCGTTCAAACCGGTCAGTCCTGGAGGAGATCAACCCTGACTGCTCTTTAGAAGGCCAGATCCTGAAGTTGAAACTCAAGTCCTTTGGCCACCTAATGAGAAGGAAGGACTCACTGGAGAAGAGCCTCATGCTGGGAAAGATGGAGGGCAAGAGAAGAAGGGGACGACAGAGAATGAGGTGGCTGGATGGAGTCACTGAAGCAGTAGGCGTGAGCTTAAATGGACTCCAAAAGATGGTAGAGGACAGGAAGACCTGGAGGAACGTTGTCCATGGGGTCGCGGTGGATCGGACACGACTTCGCAACTAACAACAACAACAGTCAATCCTTATCCACATTACTGTGTATTTTGACTGCGAACAAAAATTCGTAATTCCCACAAGAAGAACATCACAAAACCGCAACATATATTATTAGTATGCTTTGCATGGTCTAATTTATCTACAAAATTTATCTTTTTTGTCATATACAGTTACCTCTTTGGGATTTCCCTATTCCCTTAAGGGGTAACAGCTGCCACGGTTTTTAATGTGTCTTCTTAACATTGTTGTATAGCGAAATTAAGCTGATACTTCCTTTTTTCTGTTTTGTGCTTAAGCACAAGGTAAATAATAGTAATATTCTTTTCAGTTGTGTTTATTTAGATAGGCATGAAAACCAGGTTACGTGATTTGTTTGTTTTTTTCGCTGTCAGATTTGTATCTGCCTTTGCAAAATGAGGAATCTGTTGATTCAAGCAATCTTAAGAGGTCTGCAACTTGTTTCTTTGTTAATTTTTGTTCTCCTCGTTGCTGGACTGTATTTGTGTTTGCGTTTTATGGCATAGAAAATGCACCTCCCTTTAAGCAATTATACTTTCTGTATTCCCGTTTGCCTTGGCAGCTTTAAAAATGATTTATGCATTAACTGGCTAAGGCTGAGACACACAAACGAACAAAAGACCGCAAGTTTATTTATTTAAATATAAATATTTAAATGTGGCTGCCTCCCTCGCTTGTGGGGACTACAGATAGTGCCCGGAGGACTGAAGCCAAACAGGGATAAAATATAAAATAAAAGTACAGAACAGCTAGTATAAATTACACACAGTGACTAAAATCATTCCGTTTCTGATCTGAAGGCTAGATGTAAACACACCAATCAACCAGCTGGGATCCACTTAACTTCCCAGGCCCAAATCTTAGGGAAACAACCAATCTTTCATGCTTGACAAAAGAACCACAGGGTCACACAATCTGGACCTCGGGGGAGGGGCAGTGGTGGGATTCAGCTGGTTCGCACCCCTTCGGCAGAACCGGTAGCTAATTTTTTGTTGCCCAGGCCCAGAATGGACTTCCGGAAGCGGCATCCACACAGAGAACCGGTTGTTCATATTTGGATCCAACCACTGGGTCAACCTATTGTGGGAAGTCAGCCCCCCCAGAGAAGGAAATATTAAAAGGGCAGAAAAATATATTTCCTCAAATGATCTTAAAGAGGCAGAAAAGCATGCCCAGTTTTTTCTTAATAGCCCCAAGTCTCCCTCCCCCAAGCAGAAACCAGCTCTGTAGAAATGCAGATGTAAATAATCCATTCAGGAAGGTTGGAAGCCCCCAGCTAGAAGCTTAGGAAGACAAAGACACCTAAAATCTACATACCCCACCCAAACTCTAAGAGGGGACATAATAGGATTAACTCACAGATGCCAAAGGGACACAGGTCAAAATACATGACACAAGAAATACAAAGCCTCAAACAAGAACAGGAAACAACCTCCCCAGAGGGTATAAAAACCCACTCCCTACATGTGCTCTTTTCTCTTTTCTTCCAGAGCCATCTTTCTGTCTGGCTCTCCTCTCCAATAAACTGCAACCTTCTTTCTAAAGCAGTCGCCATGTTGTTTATTCCCGGCTTGGACTGAACCATGATGAAGACTTTTCCTTTAACACTATTTTCCAAAGCACCTGAGGGCAATGGATGGAAAGTAATCAATGGATGGAAAGTAATCAAGGAGAGGAGCAACCTGGAATAAAGGAGAAACTTCCTAACAGCGAGGACAATTAACCAGTGGAACAGCTTGCCTCCAGAAGTCGTAGGTGTTCAATCACTGGAGGCTTTTAAGAAGAGACTGGACAGCCATTTGTCTCAAATTGCACAGGGTCTCCTGCTTGAGCAGGGGGTTGGGCTAGAAGACCTCCAAGGTCCCTTCCAGCTCTATTCTGAATTTGAAATTTGAATGTGTTGCTGTCCAGTTGCTTGACCTTCAACCAGGTGGCCTCTCAGAATGTCACGGGATCTTCACTCTCCCAAATACAATCAGAGCCTGTGAGGAAGAAGAGTTTGGAGGAGTTAGTGAAGCAGTTCCAAATTCTTGTCCCCATCTCTTTTAATGAACACACTTCCAGTGGAGAGGTGTCCAAGTGGGCTAACAGAAGCTGAGTCTTTTCACACTAATTATGTCATCTGTGTGCACAAGGCAAGGTGTGACCGAAGGATAAGCAGCTTCCAAAGCGGAGGGCTTAGAATGGCTTCGCAGTTACCAGTTAACAGAGGAAACACGATCTCATTACCAAGTATCATATCTCATGTCCCCAAGGAGCTGGATAGGAACAGATGGTGAGGCTGCTTTAGAAAGTCTGGAGAAGAGGACTGACACTCCCTTCCTTGCTTCCTTCCTTCCTTCCCTCCCTCCTTCCTTCCTTCCTTCCTTCCTTCCTTCCTTCCTTCCTTCCTTCCTTCCTTCCTTCCTTCCTTCCTTCCTTCCTCCCTCCCTCTCTCTCTCCCTCCCT